CCTCTCTCTCTCCCTCTCTCGTTTTCTTTCTCTGTCTCTCTCTCTTTCTCTCTCTCTCTCTCTCTCTCTCTCTCTCTCTCTCTATTTCTTTCTTTCTTTCTTGACACTTTTGGTTGAAGGAGTTTTATTATAAGACTTATCCCAATCCGTTTGCTCTATGAAATCATAACAGCACTTTGCACATTTTAATTCCAACTGTCTCTGAAAAACGTCTCCACTAATGTAATGTATCCCTATGGCTTTTTCCGATTGATCAAAACAAAACAATTTTATTTTTTGCTTTCAACGCTGTTCCCAAATCATTATTATCAGTATCATCATCATTATTATGATTATTTTTACTTTCAATTGTTTCTTTTAACGAGCTTCACCCCTCGCTATAATTATATCGACCGTATTTCTTTCGACACGTTTTGCAAAATCTTACTTTCTTTGTTTAGTATTCAATTAAAAAAACACATTTCAGAATCAAATACACCTGCTATACAGGTACTGCCCAATGATGTTGATGGATTTTTTATGTTTATTGTACGCTGATGACCTACGTCTTTTCAATAACAATGGCAGATGTTTAACAAAAGAAAATCAACATGTTATTTGGTTTCTGACAGATATGGGATTTAAAAGTGAATACGGAGAAAAGTAAGATTTTTCATTTAAGAAACGGAAGCTGTCGCTGAAACACCACGAAGGTTCTGCAACGGTTTCCGCGGTGGTATACTCCAGTGATCTACACCTAGCCTTCTCGGACAATGGCGAAAACTCCCGAAGGTTCCGTGTGCAAGTTGAGCACGTTAAAAAATCCCTTGGTGGTCCAAAATCGATAAGAAGTTTCCTACCAACTGATAATGTTTAATGTATCCCGCGCGCGTTCATATGACTTTCTGCAGTTGCAAGCGCCGTAAACACTTATCGAAACAAAGCAAACAAACACTCCTTTAACAATACATTACACTACTCATCCCCCCTTCTACCTCTCTTACCTTACGTCTCATCTATCGCCCTTATCTCTCCTCTCCTCACTCATATATATTTTGTGTTTGTTACTTCTGTATAGATGCTTATTCTTACTAAAAAGCTACCCCCCCCCTTTCAGGCACACACACATACACACACACACACA